CTTGATGCCTAGAATAATGTCATCATATTCATCGCATCTTTTTCATTGTGTATAAATAAGAAAAACACAACATGTCATGTGTTACTATATTTTCTATCGTATGAATGCCTTGATTTTCCATCAATTTCTTATCCTCACTTGATACATATATTTTGTAAATGTATAACAATTAAAAGTTTGACATAAAAGTAAACATAGTATATGTAATAGTACAATCGTCCACTATTCAGAAGTAAGCTTATCAGAAAAGAAAATCTTCTTTAAAGACGCAATACACGCCATTTGTGCTAACAATTCTGTGTCTTGTCGAGCTTAATATGACAGACTTATTCTAGAATAATATTCTTTGTTCCTGTCTTGCTTGTTTCATGGAAATAATATAGCTTTTTACTAATAGAGAACGACAAAATAGTCAGAAAATAGATTGATCGTACTTCAAACCAATTCGATCGATCCCACTTAAAAAAAGCAGATTTCAACGATGTAAACGTTAATCGTTCAGAAGTGTATAGATTAAATCAAGAAAAAAGATAGCTAAATCAATATTCTGTATGTAATATGATCTCCGATAATTATATCGAAGTTTTCTTATAAAGATAAACAAATTCTATATATTCTATTTTCTCATTTTAATATCATTAGCATAAAAAAAAAACAAAGTAAGAATCTATGTTCGTTTGTTTATTAAGAGGAAAAATTTCATTTGACTCTCTATACTTTTAGTTCTTCTTAAGCACAGTTCGGATTATTAAATCGAGTTGATTAAAATAATCATAATATATTGTTCATATTACTAATAATATGAAAAGTTTTGACTTAGGAAATAATTGCAATACATAAAATGATTCATCTTCTTTGTAGCAAAGCAAACAAAAGAAATTTCTATTTTACAGAGTACTGAGATAAAATATACAGAGTTTTTGAACTATTCTGTTTAAACTAAAATATAGTCTTCTTTCAAAAATAAAATCTTGCTTTTATTAAAAGTCTATAAGACGAACGCAACCTTTTTTTCCAGAGATTCAAATAATTAATAACATTTCTCATTCAAATTTTTTTTTTGCACAAATAATTAAAAACCAAAATGATAAAGAAAGTTGCTTAGGAAAAATAAGAAATTTTCTCATTGTTTAATTTTTGTTTAAAGTTTTTTTTCGAAATATCTGTCCTTTGAGATCATATACTAAGTGCGATTTTTCCTAAATACGGATGATGAATAATAAATAAAGCGAAAACATATTGATGGATGTTTTTGTTGTTAAATTCCCTAATGCATCGTACAACAAAAATATCATTGACACTGACGTGACATAAATGTTACTACTGATTAATTTAAAATGTTATACTCTCTTTATTTCAAATTTTTTTGTAAAATATTAACAGACATCTTTTCTTCACATAGATTTTTTTTTTCTTGTTCTACTCATTGAGAGATAAAAGAAAATTGAGAATTAACAGTCAGTACTTATCTTTGCAATTCTAATGAGTCTATCAAATTTCTTTAAAAAAAAACAGAATGAAAACGAGTTTCTTTTTTGGCAATACGAGTTATTGATGAAAAAAAATATTATTATGTATTTTCTAATTACACTTTATACCAAATATATTCTCACGGTAAGATAAATGAATAGATTAAATTTTCAGAATAAAAATCTATAATGAGAAATTTTTACAATTGTATTCGACTTAACGTCATCGTTTTTTTCAATTGTATATCTTAGTCTTCTTTGCGAATAAGACAAAAATTTAGCTGATTATTTTCATAAAACATAGATTGTTTTTTTCTTTCTCAAGACCTTGAAAATAAATGTTAATGTTGTTGACAAATCTGAGTATTGATGATTGTTGTTGATCATCCAAGGTTGCGTGTTGTGTTTTAGTATGTTATTTATAGGAAAAAGTCATATGTCTTTACTTAATGTTCATTGGTATCGATTGCTTTTTTTTTCCTGTTAAATTTCTTTTGTGAATGTTATCAATAGTCTCATACTTCCATTTTAAGATTGAATTAGTTTCTTCCTCTTAATCTTTATTGCTCAAATGATAAGTAACCATCATTTTTTTTCTTTTATAATAAAAAAAAGAAGTGGATGAATGATATTTGGTAAATCAATTCGAAATGGTATTGGTAATTCGATTGAGATGATGTTTTCGTTAAATGTCAATCAAAAATATTTCTAAACTTCAATCGTTTTAGTTTTTTTTTTTATCAATAATATTCTATACGATTGTTTTAAAGAACATTAGGATAGTCAGTTATTATTTTAAATGATGGTTTTTCTATTTCAGAGATGATGATGATGATGATGATGATAATAGAGAAAGAATTCGAAAAAAATCAGTTGATAATCTTATAACGAGAGATTTTTTTTCTCGAGCTTTTTCATTTAGAAAAAAAAACGTAACCTTTTGACACGACAGAAGCTTCCGTTATTTATTGCCATTGTAAATGTTTATAAATGTCATAAATATGATTGAAACAACATGACAAAAGTTAATGAACATCAACTATGAGATATATCTGTCTAACTTAATTCTTTTCTTTTGTGTTTTTTTTTATCGGTTATATCCCAAAGGTGTTTACTTTGAATAATTAATCCTCTATCATTATTTCTATGATTTTATGCCACTATTAATCGCTCTACTCTGATATTGTTTTATTTCATTTATCATTCATAATTTTTAAAAAAAAAAGAAACGTTATCGTAAAGAATAAAATATGTTAATTGTAATTATCCGATACAATATTAAGAAATATAAAAACGACTGTTCTTTGACTTGTCTGCTTAAATATAATCCAAATAGACGAGCAAAAGATAAGGTAAGATTTGTAATGCTTAGCTTGATTATTATTAAATATATTGAATCATCAATATCTTTTAATAGAATTATATAGTTTTAAAGAGAGAAAAAAACAAAAATCTAAGAAATTCCATGTCAATTCATTTATTTTTGAATGATATTTACATCTATTTCATGGTTAGCAAATATATAATTTCTCTATCAATAAAAATAAATATACTCGCGTAAGTTTTATGTTGACAACTCCGTCAATATAAATAGATAGTTTTAGTATAAAAGGTTATATACAATTTTCATTAATTGGACAATTATTTTCAAAGTATGTTTATATTAGTATATTTCATTTTAATTATTTTTTTTTCCTCCTTTACTTATGTATTCAAATTATTTAAGTATTTTAAATCTTCACAGATGATAATCAGAAAAAAAAATAATAATAATTCAAGACAGAGAGTGCAAATGTTTAACAAGACAATTATTAATAATTATTCATTGTTCATTCCGTACCCAGAATTTATTTATATTTATGTTTTTTATTTATTATTCCTATCTGATTGAGATATCTAATATTAACAGTATACTTCTTTCTATTTTGTATTTATCTTAATGTAGTGACGACAGGAGTCCGTAAATGGAAAAATAATGACATACGTCTATCAATCAATGAAAACTTTATAGAACTTTTTTCCTTTTGTTCTCTTGTTTTTGATGAATAAGCTTTGATTACTAAATGAATAAGATTCTGTTCAATCAATATATTTTACATTTGCGTTTTATTTTTTCTATATAAGTAAATAAGTCATTTATAAATGCAGCTATCTTTTTCAATATATATATATTTTTTTGAAGTTATCTAGAAAAAGAAAACTTTCTCAATAAATGGATTATATGAAACAATGCTTGAAAATACCCATTGTACCGAAGATAGATTGATTTGTTTGAACATTGATGAAAGAATATATATATTAGGGTCTCTACTTCTCTACTTAGTTTTCACTAATTAAATTCATAGGATATTTATTATAAAACTAATTAAATTATATAGACTAGAACAAAAAAAGAAACCAATATGAAAACTACCAATAATAAACGAACAAGAAAAGAGAAAGAGAAACTCAAACATCGTAGCAAGGTCATTTTATATTATTTTGTTTTCTCTTTTAAATGAAAAGAGAGAGAGAAAATGAAAGAATATATGTATATATTGAAAATATTTTTTCAATATTGATCAGGTTTAATAACTCGATGATAGTTTGAATAGTATATATAAACTTAAAATAATATGAAAACGAATTATCTTTCTAGTTATCCCACCAACTAGAATATACATTAGGATTTGTTGTCAAAAACAAATAATGAAAAATCCATTTGACTTGTCAACATACTGTCTATCATCTATAGATACAACTGGAAAAACAAAACAAAACCAATCTTCTAGTTAGTTTTTATCGTAGTTACTTATATGTAAGTGTTATTAACATGTATAATATTTGTTTATTTTTTAATGTCAATTTTCCTATTGAATAGTTTTCAATAATCATTCAATTGTAAAGAAGAAAAAAAAAACATATTATTGAAATTCTTTTAATAAGAATAATCATGCTTATTGAAATTAAAATTAGTAGAATAGAAGAAAATAAATTGGATGTATGTGACTTTCTTTTCCAAGGAAAAATATAAGAATTTAGTTAGAAACGGATGTAGTCAACTGCGCTACGAATAGTTAATTGAATAAGACAAAGAGAAAGAGACCAAACAAAAGAAACAAAAAAACACACAAGTTATGTCCTGTTGGCAAGTTTTGTATTTTTATAGGATTATGTCAAAAGATTCACAAGATCAAACACTATCAGTATGGTTTATTTATTAAATTTAGAGTATTTACTCATCATATAAAGAGAAAAATGAGATTTTTTAGACTTTAAAACTTTGACCAAAAATCATCATTCGATATTTGACTATTTTTTCGAGTATAGATCAAAAAAGATTACTTAATATAGAAGGAATCGATCTTTATTTAGATATAATAAAAACGAAAAAGATTGATTATTTCTTTTATAAATCATTGTTAACAATAAATAAAGATTTATTGGTTAAATTCACAGGAGACTAGTGTCATAATATTCTTTTTTTCTTTATTAATTAGTATCAAAATATATATGTATCTATGTAAATATTGAGCTTCTAGATATAATGTCATGTGGTATCAAAGAACAACTGAAATCATTGATTGGATTTGTATAATAATGTTTATTCTGGGTACACTTGGAAATACTCTTGGTCTTATTGTATTTTCATCTCGAAAATTTCGTCGAACAACTTATGGTCGTTTAGCAATAGCATCATTAATTATAAATCTTTTATGTGTTATTCGTTATTCATTACTTTTACATTCAAATGCTCGTCGTTGGTTAACATATAAAGTTGGTCAATCATGGTTTAATTGTAAATTACATAGACTTTCATCTTGTTTACGTGTTTTATCAGCTTTAATTATTGTGGCTTGGACATATGAACGTTTTACTTATGTTACAGTAAATTATAGATTTTTTACAAATCGTCCATTTGTTAAGAGATATAAATTTTATTTTATGGGATTTATATCTTTAATTATTGTTGGAATTCTTACGGGACCAACTGTTTATTTCTATCAACCAAGATTAATTATTTTATCAAATCATCAATTTATATTTCAACAAAATCTAACATCAACTACATCATATAGGTATTAGATTTAATCAAAAAATAAAATAATTATAATAAACTTTATTATTCTAAGTTCATCTCATATTTAAGTAAAGATTAGAAAATTTATCAAATTTAACATTATTTATTTTAAACAAATCATATTAACTACTTTTTATTATTTTCTCATAAGGGAAATAAAAATAAATCTTGTTGAAAAATAATTCAGAAAAAAACTGATAAAAATCATAAATATAGATCATATTTATCTTTTGACAGAAAACAACAAAAATACGGTCGAATAGATAATAAAAATAACTAACATATTTTCTATATAATAGAAAATTTAATTTTACAACTAACACTTTTTCCTTGATTTATTCAATTCTAATATAGTCGACATTTATCATCGATCAGCGAGAAATAATATGTTATTTGTTTATTTCACAATAATATTAAATTATTCAATCGAATCAATCGTTAATTAACTTGTGTTGAACAAATAACATTTTTAGAAATGCAGAATTAGTTGCTAAAGCAAAACATGTTTCCCTAGTTGTCTTAGATCTATCAGAGTAGATTCTATACTCCTAAATATTACTATGAAAATAATGATTTGACTTGTTGTGTAAGCAATAGATAAATTGTTATATATTTTTTGATAGATTATTAAATTCTTCATATCGGGAAGAATATTCATTGAAAAATGAAGATTCAACAATTAGTCATTCATATCGATCAATATGTACTTTAAAAGAATCAATTTCAACATCATGGAATAGTTTCTTAAATGATGTTCGATTTGGTTTTAATTATACAACATTACGTTCAATACTTTCAGAAATAATTCCATCTTTTTTTGTTATTTTATTTGATATTGGAATAATCATTCATGTTGTTCTATCAACATCTTCGATATCGTCAAATGGTTCATCAATAAATACTCGTTCAAGTTATCGTGGTTCATTTCAAAGTAAAGATGCTGTTCATGGTTTAATAGTACATAATCGTCCACGTACATCATGGATGAATATCGTATTAATAATGCATTCATTTCTTTTTTGTTTTTCATCATTAACAGCAACAATTGTCTATTGGTCAACATCTAATGTTCTTTTATCATATTCGACAAGTGTTGTTATATTATCTAATTGTTCATTAAACTTTTATGTTTATTGTTTAAGTGGAAGATCATTTAGAAATGAAATACGAAAATTATTTTATCGTTATTTTCAATTATATTGTTTTGGAAGATTTATGAATTTATTTCGAACTAAATCACAAAGAGATGAAATTGCACAAATCGTTCGAATGCGTTTAGTTAGACATAGAAGTACTATTATACCTGCATATTCTGCTGGTCGTAAAGTATCATTTTCTCCTACGTGTAATTAAAAACATTTCTTTTCGTCGGTTTTTTTTTCAAGGTACAAACAATTCAAAATTCAACTAAAAATCTTTTTTTCACTTTATTTTTACATCAATTTTATAGAGTATGAACCGCTAATCACGAAAAACTTCAAGGATATGATTTATTTTTCTAAAACACGTCTTTTTCAAAATATGGAAAATTTTCTGTTTCATTCCATTATTTCAGCTTTTAACCATATGTCTTTTAGATTCAGTATTAAAAACTGAATACAGACAAGTTGTTACATTAACTCTAATCTTGATAATCTTTCGATAGTGATGCTTTGGATCGCAGAGAATGCAATAGGTATAGACCGATTTTGTAAACTTATCTAGTTTTTCTACACAAGCGATGAGGTCAAATATTTTATCTCATTTTTTTCTTTCCGTTTCTTTGTTGAGAAAAATCAGTTTTTCTGAATCTGAGGCAAAATAGATAGAATTTTGTTCCTATTTTTCCATTTTCTTCATCAAAAATAAGCTTTTCCTAGGATAATGTTAACATATTCGGAATTAGCGCAAAAAAATTGAATTGAGTAATGTATTTTTCCAAAATTTTCGTTACCTTCCATTTTTTTGATGAAAATTTCAGCCACGTCTTCATCTAAAAACTGGAAAAAAGCTGAAGTTAACGGAAAACATTAAATTGAATATCAGTTGATTCAGTTTTTTGTGCTAATTCCGAATATGTTAACATTATCGTATGAAACCTTTTTTTTTGATGAACAAAATGGAAAAATAAGGGTATAATTCTATCTATTTTGCCTCAGATTCAGAAAAACTGATTTTTCTCAACAAAGAAACGGAAAGAAAAAAATGAAATAAAATATTTGACTTCATCACTTATGTAGAAAAATCAGATAGGTTTACAAAATCGGTCTGTACCTATTGCATCCGCTGAGATTCGAAGCATCACTATCAAATTATTGTTGGAATTAGCGTTAATGTAACAACTTGTCTGTACTCAGTTTTTAATGATGAATCTGAAAAACATGTCTTTTTAGAAAAAAAAACAATATCGTTCAACTTTTTCATGATTAACGGTTCACGCTCTAACAAACGACGTAACAATAAAGTGAAAAAAGAATTTCAATTGAATTTTGCATTGCCGACACCTTACAATGAGAAACGTTAAATTCTTATTGGAATGATCATACAGATTAGTCACAATACGTTTTATTTTTGTCTTATATTTTTGATTCTGATAAATTAATTTGTTTAACAGAAATATTCAATATTAAAAAAAAAACGATATTTTAATAAAAACTTTAGTACGGTTTTCAACAATATCGGAAAACAATTAAATATTACAGTTATTATAATTGTTTATATCTGTTAGATTTTTCAAAGATGAACATCAGATATTTCCATATAAAGTGCAAGAAAAAAAGAATCATCTATCCAATCTACTGACTGCTAAACTCCAAATCTTGAATTTTCTCATTCAACCTTTTCAAGCATATCTAAAATATCTCTTCGAGTGGTGATCCAAACCTAAATTTGATCTTTAACAAAACATATATGATAGAAGTTTACCTCAAGAAATAGAGTTTTGATGATGCTTTAAAAAAATAAAATATACTTCAATTAAAGAAATAAAAGTAATAATTATTGAAACAACACCGTTTGATTATTTTGATAAAAGTAAACAAACTTGCTTTCAACAATTTTCTATCAGAGAAAAATGGTATTGCTATCAAATATTTTCCAATCTGTGAAGATTGGCCAGTTGAGCCTGTCGAGTTCAAAAATTTTGGACCCGAACCCGGTTGATTAAACTTTTTCGGATCCGGTCTCGAATTGTACTCTTGCTACTTAATGAAATTTTTTAAACTCGTATCTGATAACCCTCAGGAACACATCCTTAACAGTTTTGAAGCAATCTCGATCATGATCTTATAATAATCAAATTATAATTGGCTTTTTTTTCAGAGTACCATTCATAAAGTCAGACCCGGACCCGATTAACAGAAAAGTTTTCAGACGTGGACCCGGACGAAACCCGACGGGCTCTACTGACCAGTCTGGTTACAACTCCGGTTGATCGAAGATGAGTACTGTTGTTTATCTATTTATATGAATTCTTTTTGCTAGAATTGGAATTAAACTCAAGTTATGTATAATAATGTAAATTATATTTTCTTTGATGTGTATCCGACTAGCCAAAATAAAGCGTCTGAATATGCATGTTGTGTACACTGAATGTGTCAATCTAATTTTTTTTTTTATACGAATCTTATTGTTAATAAAATCGAAAAAAAGAAGATTTATGCACAATTGAATTGTTCATCGTTTTCATTCGATTTATTTCTCTTGTTGTTTTATTTAAAAAAGTTTTATAATATATGAAAAGACAATAAAAACATTCTCAAGAAAAAATAAAACTGATTATTTTATCTTAAATGTATAGTTTATTATTGAACTAAATGATCATTTATTGGTATGTTCTTTATCTCCAGAACTTTTTTGTATAATTTCAATCCAATATCGATCTGGATCTAAGATAAAAGCAATATGTCTCATTTGACCATCTTCAGGTCGTTTTTTAAATTGTACACCTAATTTAGTAAAACGATCACAAGCTTGTTGAAGATCATCAACTAACATACAAATATGTCCAAAACCTTTATGTTCAGGTTCATTACCAGATTTATAACCTTCAAAACCACTTGAAGCTAATTCTGTACCCCAGTTATGACATAATTCAAGAACACCTTGTTGTTGCCATAACCATTGCATTAATTTATCCTGATTATCTTTATTTGGTACTTCGGATTGAGGATAACATAAAAAATAATTTGTAAATTTACCAGCAGGCATTGACATAATACGAACAAGAGTCATTCCAAGAATACGTGTATAAAAATCAAGTGAAACACGAGGATCCTTTATACGAATCATTGTATGAGAAAAACCATATGATGATGTACTTGGATCTGATGGACCCGTTGGAAGACTATTTGGATCGGGTGGTTGATAATCATCAGGAAGATTCGACATGTTTTATTTTACAATAACAAATTATCTATAAAGTGACGATTTAACAAAACAAAAAACACAATTTATTATCAAAGTGAATTATGATTGGACGATAAAGATAATCAATATCTTTTTTATTCAAATTAGATTTCTTCTGTTATTTTAACTAAATCAATAAGAAAGAATTTTTTTTAGATAAACTTTGTTTTTTTAAATCGATTTGTCTGCATAAAATGTTACTTGTAAGGAAAGAGATGTCTCTATAAGACAACATCTACACTTTACCATTGAAAAAATCTCTTTCATATTAAACTGAAAAATGATCAAAGAAATCTTTTTATTAAATAGAAATTTGAATAAAACATTTTTTGTCATTTTAGAATGATCATTCATTAAATATTTTCCAATGTGGGCTCGCATAATTTATTCGATGTGGTCATCACTCGTCTTGTTCATCTTGCTTTTTATAGATATTGAGCGGACCACTAAAATAATCTATTCTGTGTAACCTACGAAACTCATATTTTCTCGTTATCATTCATATATTTCTATTCAAAACCTAATATTTATGTCGATATTATTATATTTGATCTCTATGAAAAAAAACAAGAACTTTTTTTGAACAATAACACAGTGTTTACCGATCTCTAACAATTTCTAAAGAATGATGAAATATCATAAGAAGGACTTTGACAGAATAAAGAAAATCATTTGAAAGTTATTAATTATATACAATTAGAATAATAACAAACACATTGGTGGCAAGAAAAGAAATCAAAGCTCTCCAAAAAAACAAAAGAATTGCTTTAATAAAACCGTCTTGAAAATTTTTCAAAATAAATTTTACTTGAGTATTATCTAACTTAATCAAATACGTTCTTCGAATTCAAGAAACTTATTCATATAAAAGATGTTCAATGAGTCTTTCTACTGCATATGTTCGAAGTATTTATCATAAATAAAAAGAGATATTCAACTCAGTTCCGCACCATCATTAGATCTAAGCAGACTTTAACAAGCATACGATGGGTGCGACGAGCGATCGAAAATTTGAAATATATATTCTTTGTTCGTTCTGTTTCGATTTGGAGTCTCTCGGCAGCCATTGGACTCCAACCACTCGAAAAATATATCCTATTGAATATTCATTTTTGATTCTTCAAGCACTTTTAGATCCATCGATATTCATCGAAGTTTCGGGTACTCCAGAAAAGAAACATATCAAAAGCGTAATATTGAGTGCTCCAGTAGAAGCAAGTCTAGCAGAATAATAGTGTCGCGTGGTGATGTTAATTTTGATTTCGTGAAGCTTCTTCAAAAAATGATTTACAAATGTTTCTTTTGTTCAGTTAACTTAGTAGAATAATTTATCTTCGACATATATTTTCCTTTATTTCATAATTTTCTAAAAAATATTTAGCATTAACTAATGAAAAATAACGAGTAAGACTGAAATTCATAAGCGTTTTTGACGAAAATCACAGCCATAACGAATTTTACATTTTGAATGTTTGAAAAATTTTTTTAATATTGATTTTATGCTGTATCACACAAATAAGCTCCTTATATCGCATCTGAAATTCCAAAAGAGTCTTTTCTGTAGTTAAAAACACGAACAAAGGTGTTTCTAGTCGATTAAAAACGTTTTTTTTAATTTTGAAAAACTATTAGCAAATGTTAGAATAATAATCTTGAAAGTACTATCCTTCGAAGAATTGAAAAGATAACTTTCATAGAAGAACAACAGTTCATATTTAGTTTAGATTTTGGACGAATGTTAATTGTAAGTAGCCATGTTTGAATCTCCTCCTCCACGTTTATTCAATAGATTTCGACGACTCGAGAATGAGATATCTATAGGAAAGAATCATTTTTATTTTTATCAAATTTTGATCACCTCGGTAAAAATCATTCGGTTGGACGAAAATTCCGTGTTTGACTGACCTATCGGAAAGCGAAAATCGTAAGGATTCGTTTGCAATGTCGATACCCACGGCAACCTTAAATCGACGCGTCGAAATGTCTATCGGATGGTCGGTTGAGTGAGATTTATAATGATTTCAAATGACTTTACATAGTTAATAGTCGTACATGCTCTGTTACGTAGCTCGCGGATTAGCATTCATATCGATTTCTTTCAGGCAGTCGATGAATTTATTACTGTCTGTCTCTATGTCAACCGTATCACTGAAAGCACGATTCATGTTCTAGGTTTTGATGTAGAAACAATAAGTACAGTCGATAAGTTCTCGTTGCTGATTCTTCAATAAGCGAATATCAATTGTTTGTTGGTATGTGTCATCGTACTTACGTTATAGTGCATAATTTGCTTGCTGACTGGTGCGTTGTTAGTAAAGGTTAGAATGAAATGCTTAGAAATTGTTCTCGGAAAGTATTTCAGAGCGACTTTCTAATCAACGTTACAGAAGAAATTCGAAGGATATAATGAGTTGGCACATAAGTTCTGAGCGTTTTTTTTTGTGCTGTAGGCAAGTTTGAGACTTTATATCTCGTTATTGGAAAGTAATAGAGGTCTGAAATTTTTAATGTAGATAGAAGTCATAGAGATCTATCTACACTAAAAATTTCAGATCTCTATCACTTTCCAATAACGAGATATAAAGTCTCAAACTTGCCTACAGCACAAAAAACCCGCTCAGAACTTACGTGCCAACCCAATAGATAAGCGAAAAAACTCGCCTCGAAATCTGATTGGCTGAGAGAACTGATCAATCAGATTTCAAGGCTATTTATCTCCTTCATGGTGGAAGATGCACCAGGGGTTGTCAGAGCAAATCAGTAGCCCTTGAAGTTCTCTTTCAGTTGCCATGAATCACACCTATGCCTTATAGCATAAATAAACGAAAAAACTCGCCTCGAAATCTGATTCTGAAACACGTCCTGAATGGTTATTAACTGCATTTGCTGCTTTTCGTCATGGAATAACTCTTGTAACACTTTATTTAACACTCGGTGAAAAAGCTGTTAAACATGGAACTAATGAATCACAACTCGAACTGATTGTTACTTCGCAAGAGCTTACTTTTAAACTTGAAGTAAAACATTCCTTTTTTTTCTTATATCATTTCGCTTTAATTTTCTCTAGAAAACATTAGAACAAACAAAAAATGTTCGACGTGCAATTTATTTACCTACACTTGCTAAAGCACAAGCAACAAAAGTACCACACGATAAAGAAAATGTTCAGTTTATTCCACTAGAAAACTTTGAACAAACAGGGAAAAATGCTCAAATTGGTAAAGTTTGTTTTTTTTGATTATTTTATCTTTTAAGTTTATTTTTTTTAGATGAAACAATTTTAAATAAAAGACCACAGAAAACAGATATTGCTGTTATTATGTATACTAGTGGAAGTACTGGAACACCAAAAGGTTAGGACAAGTTTTTTCAATCAAGTTTACATATCGAAGATGTTTTTTTTTGGAAGAGGAAATTCTTGTAAATAGGTATATTGCATGAGTTTGATTGCTTGTTACTAGAATCAACAAGTCAATTTTGATTAATTCTTTAGATAATATTTCTATACGAGATTAATAACATTTAAAGCATTTTTAGAAAGCTAATTATTTACTGATCATGCTAAATCCGTTCTTTCTATAGAAATACTTTGTTTATAATCTCTCGAATACTGATCATCTTCTTGAAGAAAGAAAAATTGTCAAAACCTTGTAATACTGGATCGTGAGAATTGACATATTCTTGTTTAAAGGGTGTGGATATATCGAAAATGATAATGAGGCTTTTTAGTTTTGTACTATGATAGAATAGCCGAGCGTTGCATTTGTGAGCATTGAATTTGTCTTCCGATTTATACAAAAAGCACAAAAGTCAGGTCATTTGCATTTTTTTTAAAAACTGACCAAAACTGCGGTGATAACAGGAACAATGACGGTGAGACTTGCAAAAACTTAGCTTGAAGTGTGATTTTGATCGATTTTTTAAAAAACTAGTCATCCTATCAGAAAAAGTTATTATATCAGTCAATATACATTGAAATAAGTGAGATTTTCCTGATGCGTAGTGGCACTCACATGGTAAATAACGTGTAAGTTTGAGCCCAAGTAACTTTGGAAAGACGAGTTATCGCAATAATTATTCAGTAACAGTGCACACTGTCATCTATTATTTTTCTCTATCTTACACATATGGTATAAGTTCAACTAATTCATCTGCACGGATCAGTTCATTTGTTGCTGTTCACTGGTTTCATGACTCTTACACGAAAGGGACCTAAGTATATTTAACTTTCAATATAAGTATTGCTACAGACATCCTAATAAAAGAAAAAGTATGTAAACTGTCGTAGCAATCTACCATTATCAAGTATCTGAAATAGTATTACAGCATTGATGCTTACTGCTCTAAAAGTTTCAACTCTATATCTTGAAATTTTAATTAGCCTAATTAATGATATCGAAAAATAAAATTAGCATTTGCCATAACTTGTCTTTCCAAAGTCATTTGGGGGTTAAACTTACACATTATCTACCACGTGAATGCCACTATGGATGAGGAAAATCTTAGTTCATTTCATTTTATATAGACTGAGATAAAGACTTTTTCTGATAGGATACCTATTATGGCTGTAACAGTAAAAACGTTCAATCTTCTCAGAAATCAGCCAGGGACATGAACTTTTTTTATGGTAGACATAATTTATCAAGATCTACAAGATGCGTAAAGTTCCGACTTAAAAGCGAATGGGTACCTGGGAATGTTCTCTTGTGAGATGGGAGAATAACTTGATATCGCAAACATTAAGTGTAATTATTGAAAATGTTTTGAAGTTCAGACTAAATGCGATCAGAAATTAATATTCATTTATTTCTTGACTTGAATTAAATTGAAAAGATGAAGACTAATCTTAAAATGAACGTCATTCTTATTGTATTTCTTCAAAGAATTGTGAAAGAAGTATGTTTCATTGTCAATGTAACTTTCCAGTATCATAAAGTGTTGTATGGACTCGTTTTACTAGTTTTTTGGGATAGTTTCATATAAATATCCCTCATAACTGAGAATTTTTCTTTCATTCTTATTGGCTCATTTTATTGCTTTTAGTTTCCAGAAGCAATGCTGCCATTTGATTAAAATCGAAAAAGTCTTGATGAACTGATAGAGAGACTTTCTTTGTTAGTTGAAACCAACAAATGATCTTTTCCTATTAAATATTTCCACTTTGTTACTTTATTGTTATCGAGTTGTAAAATAAAATATTATACATAAACATATGTCATTTAATTATGACAGTGATATACAGTATCACATCACAACTAATTCAAGATTTTTTTTTTCTTTAAAATTGTTTTTGGAAAGATTTTTTGCATTATGCTACGAAATGACGTCGTCAGATTTATAATTCTTACATGAATTGATGTTCTGCAACTGCATCTATTGTATAGAAAAAACTAGATCTAAATATGTTTTTTCATTTATGGATTGTCACAAATGAAGAACATATTTTTGTTTCAAGTCCTTACTATAAGATATTGACTATTCAAAAAATATTTATCATGTCAATTTTGAAATAATGTTTGATTTATGAAAGATATTATGTAAAATACAAATTTAATTTGAATTGAAACATGAAATTAAAGAGAGTTAACTTAAAACCATTTCTTTATCTATATTTCATCTATCTTTTCTATTGATGACTTAACTGTTCATCATATCGTTCGAAAAGGATAAATCGAAATATGAAATACAATTCTAAAATCTCCAGGTTAAAATAATCGTCGTTAGTACCGATTATTATCTTATCCAGGTTGTCGAAGCTAAAGAAAAATATTCATCAAAATATAGAAAGCAAAAAGAAAGTCTTTTGTTTTTTTATATTTTAATCTTTTTCCTGTCCGCGCATGTACATTCGTTCTTCTGTCGCTCTTCCTTCCAGGGATACACATTTGTTGTATTTACCCTCTCTTTCTTCTCTTCTATCTCTCTCTCTCTCTCTATATATATATATATATATATTTGTTTTTCTTTTTAAATAGTTATTCAGTCTGCTGCAAATGGATAAAGGTGCATTTATCGACGAGTTACGTGCTGCATTAACAGATGTACGAAATATTCTCATAAAAAACATTTAAAATCATTCTATATTTTAGTCAAATAAACTGATAAACATGCACCGAGGAGCATTAATGCGAGTGAGAACGTATGCTGATATGATCGAAGAATTAACTAATATTAGTAGTCAAGATGTTATCAAAGATGTACAAAACAAATATAAACAAAATCAAACTGAAGCTTTTATAATAAAGGTAATATTGAATTATAAAAATAATTTAATGGTAAATGATGAAACATTAACGATTGGAAAATATGATCAATTAATTGGTTATGGAAATATTGCTGCATCACAGTCGAATAGTTTCAGTAGTGATGCAACAAATCCTAATGAAATAACAGATAAATCAAATGAATTTACTCAAGAAGTAAAATCCACAACTAGTGCAGATAATATCAAATCTGGTGCGAATAAGGATGATACTAAAGATAAAAATTTCCATGTAAGTTTAACAATTTTTTTTACTTTATATTTTTCTTTATCTTTTCTTTTACTTTTTTTTTCTTTAGTGAACAAGTACAAATGTCATCGTCATCATCATATCCTATTTTATTTATTCTTGTTCCTGTAGTTTAGAATTTTTTATTTTATTTTATCAACACATTTCATATATGCCAGTCAAGCGATAAAAATAAACATATCCATTAACCATAAGTTTTTAATCATTTTTTTCTTTTGTTCGTATATATGACTTTTTTTTCTTGTATTTCTTGTTTTTTTTTGACATGAATAAAAAGAAGAAAAAGAAAATTTTCCATTTCTCATTTCTATTTTCTAGTCATCATCGACGGGTAAACCTTCCTCCTCGTTTTTGTTTATTGAAATTATTTCAATATTTCTTAGAAAAACCTATATTGAAAGAATTGAAAAAAAAGGAAAGACATAGATACGAATAGCTCGACAACCCAATGATACAAATGTTTCATTATCAATTGAATCTTGATTAAAATCAAATGATGAAAATCTTCCACCGAATATAATCTTTATTCTTTATGTTAGTTTCTAAACAAAATTCATTTCCACTTCGATCAATGGACTTTAATGGAAAGTGAATCCTGACTACAGACCCCATTGAAATAGTCATGTCCTTTTTCAATGACTGGTATTAAAGTTAGCAGTTCCAGTATATCTGAAAATAATAAGTGATTATACTCAATATTCTATAAGGAGA